GTTTACACCTGTGTGACCACCGTCCCACTCACAATGGAGATTATGCCCATTACTCCAGAAAGTCCCAGTGTGCCTCTTTCCAGAAAAACACCTCCCTCCCCACCCTGTTTTTAAATTTCTGTCCTAGTAAATCAGTTTGCCTGTTGTCCAATTTCATGTAAATGGCAATGTACAGCATGTGCTGGCTTTGAGGCTGGCTTCTTTCATTCAGCATAATATCTCTAAGATTAATCCATGTATCTGTAGTTCCTTCTTTTTCATTGCTGAGTAATATTCTGTTTTATGCTGCTAATCATAACATGATTGCCTTCTCTGCTGCAAGCCCATCCTTCTTGCTGGCCTGGTGGAAATGGATCTGGGCCCTTTAAATTTTTTCCCTGCAAGCCAGCTAAGCCTGGTCAGTAGAGGGCGCTGGGGAGCCCGTGCGGCAGCACAGGGCTCTGCTTCCTGGTTCTGGGCGCCCCCCAGGCTCCTGCAGCTCCTGCAGACCCCAGCTCCTGCAGTGCACGGCTGCCCGCAGCACCCCCAGCACCACTTTGGAGGCAGTTCTGGCAGTTTTGACGTGGGGTATCTCTCCAGAGGCGACTTCTGTGGTATCCTCCAGGGAAAATTTCTGGTAAGTTCCCCAGGGTGGATTTCTAGCAAGTTCCACCAGCATGGCACCAGGCGGAGCTTTTGCCATGTGGTGGGTCAGAGCCACGCCCTGTTGCACAAAGTCTGGGTGGTGGCTCTGGAGGGTGTGTGTGTCTTAGGGGACATTTCCTCAGTTTTCCTTGGGAGATTTTTCAGCTTTGGGAGGGGACTCTTTCTCAGGGGCCTTACCTCAGCCTGGGGTGTGAGTTTCTCCCCCCCTTGGGGGGCAGCTATCTCAGACCCACAGTGGGGGATCTGTTGTGGGGGCCTCTGTATCAGCCTTAGGATTCTCTTTGAGACTCTATATCATCAGTCCTAGGTGGGTTGGGGCTCTTCCTTGGGGGCTTTTCCTCAGCTCTGGGAGGGGGGGTCTTTTTGGGGAGGTTCTATCTTAGCCTGACGTGGGGGGATCTCTTCCTGTGAAGCTCCTCTTTGGGGCTCTGTCTCAGCCCCTGAATTGGGGGGGAGGTCTTTCTTGGGCACTCTGCCTCAGCCCTTGGGGACTTTTTCTCAGGGACTTTATTTCACCTTTGTGGAGTGGGGGAAATCATCCTTGAGGCTTCTGAGGGGATGCTCCTGGGGGGTGGCATTCTTAGGGGCTCCATCTCCACCCGGGGTGGGGTCTCTTCCTCGGGTGGACTGTCTTAGCTCTGTGGGTTTGGCTGTTCCTTTAGCTGCTATTCTTACATCAATTATAATTCTTTATTAGCCATCGCCCACTCATTCAATCCCCTATTAGAAGTTAATAATTCTTCATATGGAACTGTCTCTGTTGGAATTACTGCGTTGTTTCTTTTTCTTGATTAGACCCAAACCAGTACAGAACTGGCGTCAGCAGTGATACGGGGTGAGGGTGGGGAATGGATCTGCAGAGATGAGATTTTCAGACTGGTTTTCTCTGGCCTTGAGCGTGGTGCCGAGCATCTGGCCAGTGGTAACTGGGGTGCTAAGAACCCAAGGCATGGCGTGGCCCCGCAATTAACCAGGCTGTCACCCATGGTTGACTGAGTGAAGTGCCACGGAGGCACATCCCTTGGGAGCCAGAGCGATGCTGTACTTGACTGTTAATGGCAGTGGTGATGGCTGTAAGGACCGTGGGGGCGGGGGGTGGTGGGATTGATTCTTTTGAGGGCTCTTGAGCTTACAGAGAGAAGATGAGAAGTCCAGGTCCTTTGGCTCGGCTCACATCACGGTCTGAGAACCGGAGAGCATTCATGACAGCCTTTACCGAGCTCTTGTGTTTTTTTTAAGTTTTTATTATTTATTTATTTATTTATTTTCGCAGCTGCAGGGCTGGTATTGCTGAAAATCAAACATAAAATAATTGTGCTGTATTGCTGAATTACAACCACAATTGAATTCACATCTTGACAGATTTCTCATGTGAAAATTAGGGCATCGATTGGGGAAGAAAGGGGTCCTCAAACATGGAATGGGGACATCGGTCGGACCCAGATGAAACTGATGATCTTAGACCCCAGGTGGCTCCAAGCCTCCCTTATAGGTGGTGGTGGCTTTCCCTCCAGTGTCTGAGGATGGTATTAACCCCCTGTTTAAAAACCCTGGGACACAGTGCCAGGGTGGCTGAGGCAGTTGAGTGCCCGATTCTTGATTTCAGTTCAGGTCATGATCTTGCAGTTCTTGAGTTCAAGCCCCGTGTTGGGGTCTGTGCTGACAGCTCAGTACCTGCTTGGGATTCTCTCTCCATTCTTTCTCTGCCCTTCCCCTGCTCATGCACACACACACATACTCTCTGTCTTTCTCAAAATAAATAAATAAACTTAATAAGATAAAATCCTGGGATAGGAGTGCCTGGGTGGCTATCAGGTAAGCATCCAACTCTTTAAACATTTTCTTAATGTTTTATTTTGTTTTTTGAGAGTAAGACAGAGCGTGAGTGGGAGAGGGGCAGAGAGAGAGGGAGACACAGAATCCGAAGCAGGCTCCTGTGAGCTGTCAGCACAGAGCCTGACACAGGTCTTGAACCCACAAACTGGAAGATCATGACCTGAGCCGAAGATGGATGCTTAACCGACTGAGCCACCCAGGCGCCCCAGTAAGCATCCAACTCTTGATTTTTTCTCTGGTCATGTTCTCGCAGTCATGAGATCAAGCCCCGTGTTGGGCTCCGCGCTGGACATGAAGTCTTGCTTAAGATTCTCTCTCTCCTCTCTCTCTGCCCCCTGCCCCCCGCTTGGGTGCACACAGTCTCTCTCTCAAACAAGCAAACCAACAAAAACCCTGTGATAACCTTGGTGGGGACACATATCTGGAGAGAGGAAGCACATTTTCCTCAAGACTTACCAAGATGACTTACTGTTGTCACTAGACTCTAACTAGGGCCAACTCTCAGCATAGTGGCAGGGACACACCGGGACACCCAAAGAATCTCAAGGCTGCACTCACATATATCAGCAGAATTCTGGGGAACCCATGTGGGAGTGGATTCCCAGGGTTTTAGACCAAAGAAGGCAGGATATAACACTGGGTTGTTTCCTTGTCATGGATGAACTCACTGGAGAGGCCGGATTTGGTTATTAGCATGTGCTGCTGGCTGTAGCTCTAACAGCTTACTTGGCTGATTGGCTGAGATCTGGACCCAACGGCGGCCTACAGTTAATAAAGCTGCAACATCAGCTTTATTACAAAGGGAATCCAGGGGCTCCTGGGTGGCTCAGTCGGTTAAGCGTCCGACTTTGGCTCAGGTCATGATCTAGCATTTGTGGGTTCAAGCCCCATGTCGGGCTCTGTGCTGACAGCTCAGAGCCTGGAGCCTGCTTCTGATTCTGTATCTCCCTCTCTCTCTAACTCTCTGCTGCTCACGCTGTCTCTCTCACACAGAAATAAATAAAACCATTAAAAAAAATTTTAGAAGAGGGAATCCAAAGGTGTGGGAAGACAGGAATGCTGGACTGGAGATTTTGTGTGTGATGCGTACCCCCTCGCCCAGCACTGCTCCACAAGAAGGAGCAGAAGACAGAGGCGTTGAGAAATCCACGGGTGAGGGGAGCATCCTTGAAATGCTGCCTGGCTTCTCTCTTTTGTGGGCTGGGTGTCACTTAAGAGGCTGCCTCCAGCGAGAGGGGCTCCCTGATTGCAGTGGGTGTCAGGGCATCCTGGAGTAGTGGAGACTGAGGGACGGCACATCACTGCCAAGGATAAGGTGGGCACATCTACCTCAAGGCAGTGGGGATGTACAGGCAATCAGAACATCGTCGCCTACAGGTATGGGATCTTTGGTGGTGGCGAGTGGGTCCCAGTGTCCCTGGAAATGAAATAAATGGCAGCTTACCAGAGTACTGCTTGATAGACATATAATGTAAAAAGCTCTGGGGTGGTTAGCCCAAACCTGACGTGCATCACCGTGACGGAATGTCTCTGCTTCCCCTCCGGTTTCTGTACCTCAGTCAGTTCCCAAGTTTAGAAAAAGCCCTTGGGAGGCGAGGTCCCCTTGAGGAAGAAGCCTTATCATTTCTGCAAGTACTTAATGTAAATATTCCTCCAAACCTCCCCCAAAGGGACCTGGGGCCATTTACCAGAGTGACTGTGCTGGGGAAAAGGAAATACACAGACGGGTCAGGAATCGCTATGCATTGCTTCTGAATAAACCCTGATTTGGGGGGACCCACTGTGCCACTCTGGCCCAGAAGTCAATGTTGGGGCTTATGGTAGAAGGTGATAGAAGTCAGGTGATAGAAGGTGGCGCCTGACACGCAGGGGTCCAGACAGCCCATGGACCCACCCTGGGTCATTCCCCCGGTTCCTGAACTGAATGATTACAATACATAGACAGACTTAGCGACTAACCGTTCTCTCCCCTTTCCGTGTTTATTTTAAATGCGCGTTTTGGGAGGTTAACTTTACAATTCTGTCTTTAGGTGACAAACTGTCCTGGGGAACTGTGACGGAGTTTGAGGAGTAATAAATACAGTCAGTGGTGACTTCTGGGGCTGTTAGTTTCATTTGATGGAAAGTGTAAGAATGATAGGTGTGTCTCCTTGGGTGGGAATGCAGAGTGGGGTGCTTCCGGAGATCAATGGGGTGAGCAGGGTTCCTACGGAAGCTCAATAGTCAAAGGGATGGAGTGTGCTGTGCTTCCAGGATTGCCTTCTCCACTCCAAGCCCATCCTTCTTGCTGGCCTGGTGGAAATGGATCTGGGCCCTTTAAATTTTTTCCCTGCAAGCCAGCTAAGCCTGGTCAGTAGAGGGCGCTGGGGAGCCCATGCGGCAGCACAGGGCTCTGCTTCCTGGTTCTGGGCGCCCCCCAGGCTCCTGCAGCTGGTGCAGACCCCAGCTCCTGCAGTGCACAGCCGCCCGCAGCCCCCCAAGACTGCTTTGGAGGCAGTTCTGGCAGTTTTGACGTGGGGTATCTCTCCAGAGGTGACTTCTGTGGTATCCTCCAGGGAAGATTTCTGGTAAGTTCCCCAGGGTGGATTTCTAGCAAGTTCCACCAGCATGGCACCAGGCGGAGCTTTTGCCATGTGGTGGGTCAGAGCCACGCCCTGTTGCACAAAGTCTGGGTGGCGGCCCTGGAGGGCGTGTGTGTGTGTGTGTGTGTTAGTATGTGTGTGTGTGTGTGTGTGTGTGTATACCTACTTCTTTGGGGGTCCTGTCTCAGCTTTGTTGGGGGGGGTGCTTCTCTCAGCTTCCTTGGGGGCTCTATTCACCCCAGGCTGGGGGGGGGGCATTGGTGCTCCTTAGGGGTTCTGTGTCAGCCAAAGAGGGATTCTTCTTTGATATGATTCTCTTGGGTTCTCTTTCTTTCTAGTCAGTCCCTAGTTAGTCCAGTCTTCTAGTATTGTTAGTAAGTTTTTATCCGGAACTTTCCACATTCAGATTCCTGTGTGGATTCTCCCTCCTGATTGGTCACAAAGTGACTCACTCTGTGTGTCATAAATCATTGTTTGTCCTTCCATGAACGTCGGTATTTCCAATTTGGGGCTGTTATTAATAATTTGTGACGCATATTCTCAAATGCACCAGGCTTTCTGGACAATATGTTTTTATCTCTTGGATAAAGGCTCTGAATAGGGTTCCTTTGTGAACACAGGCTAAGGGACTTTCGTTGTGCCTAGAAGATGCTGTGGGGTGGCTGGGAGTTTGTGGGTCTGTTTTTTTATTTTATTTTAAATGTTTGTTTATTTTTGATACAAAGAGAGGGAGGGAGAGAGAACAAGTGGGAGAGGGGCAGAGAGAGAGAGAGAGAGAGAGAGACGGCGACAGAGAGTCTGAAGCAGGCTCCATGCTGAAAGCGCAAAGCCTGACGTGGGGCACGAACCCACGAACCGCAAGATCACAACAGGAGCCAAAGCGGGACACCCCTTGGATCTGTTTGTTTTTTTTTATAGCAGTGATAAAATTCAATGTGGGTTCTAGAAGGATCTCTTGGCCTTGGGTGAGTGGGGGCCAAAGGCACCATCTCTTAACGCCCCAGAGGGGGGCGGCAGCTCAGCCTGGTGACCTCGTGCATGTGACTGCTCCATCATCTCTCTGTGAATCTGTGAAATGGGAATGTTCTCGTGCTTCCCTGGGATGGTGGGTGGGGCTGGATGGGACGATGCCCGCAGGGGCTTGGCACGGGGCCGGCGCGGAGTAGGTACCCAGCGGGCGGCAGCCAACATACCGTCGCTATTAGGTCCTTACGCTTGGACGTCCCAGGACCTCCTGGCACTAACGGTCATGTGACTAGAGTCCCAGAGTGGAGGGAGAGCGTCTCGGTGCCCTGTCCGGAGGCGCCTCTGGACCCAGAAAAGCTGGGGCACAGCTGCCCTTTGCTGCCCGGCGCCTGGCGCTCTCTGACGCCGTCCTGTGCCTTCGCTCGGAGTGGACCCTCAAGGTGGCCTTGGGTTCTGGGCTCTTTGCCCAGCCCCCTGACAATTACCTCAGCTGGCACCCTGCCAGACTGAACCCTGAGCTCCTGCACCCCAGCTAGTCAGACAGCCATGATTAGTCAAATAAAATTTCCATCTGTTGAGGAATTTTCGAGAGTTATTACTGGCTATAAAAGCAATCGGAGGAGAAGGATGGATCTGAGGGGGTAAGTGCCTCTAATTATGTGCAGTAGTGACTTTTAAATAAGGTTGCAGATGTCCTTATCAGAGTGAGCCAGACCCCCATCGCTGTCTGGGCCGGAGGGGGTTGGGCTGGTGGGGATGGGTCCTTCTCTGTAGAGGGAAGAAGAAGAGGGCCATTGTATTGAAATTTGGGGGTGGTCATTATGGCATTTAGGAAGATCTGAGTCGCAGAGGGCCTAGTATGGTGTCTGGCATACTGCAGGTGCTTAATGCATGCACGTTTCTGTTTTCCCTGCTTCCCTCCCCTGGGGACTCAGCCAGGCTCCTGGACAGAATAGCAGGCTCTCAGGGCCGGGCTGTCGCTGTCACAGACTCTGTGTGAGCTGCGGGGTTGGGTTTGCATGAGGCGCTGAGCCCTCCCGCCTGGCTGTGCCCATCAGCGAAGCCATCTCCCTGCGCGTGCCCAGCCCCTGGGTCCTCCCTGATGGCCTGGTCACTCCATCAGCTGCAGAGGGCACAATCTGGCTTCCGGCTGTGCTGCTGGCTGCATGGCCTGGGCAAGACCTTGACCCTGTGTGGACTCAGTTTCCCTCCCTGTGAGTGGGGATGAGAAGGCTGACTTGTCCAGGCCACAAGTCTCCTCACTCTTCTTTCCTGGTCAGGCCGGGAGAAGGGCCCCGAGGTGCGCACCTTGCTTCAGGCTCCTGTCTCTGAGGGCCGGCACCTCTGCGGGGGGTCGGGAGGGGGAATTTTGGGGCTGGAGTAGGCCGAGTCTCTGGAACTCTCCCCCGCCCTGTGATGGGATGGGCACCGGGGAAAGGTGCCTGTAGGCTCTAGGACAGCGAGAATTTTGATGGTTTCAGCCCTGCCTGGGTTTTGTGATATCTGCAGGTGGGTGGTGGGCAGTGGGTGGCGGGTCTCCGTGGGGGCAGCTCCTGTGGTGCTCCTGGGCATGGCCCCTGGCACACGCGTGTGCTCTCTGGTGCTCCCCACTTCTCTGTTTCCCCCCCTTCTTGGGGGCCAGGATGGGAACGTTTTACATGTGATGGAACAGGCCTGGGGCTTTGGGCTGGGTGGAGAGAGGGTCCAGCTGGTATCGGGCCTTCCTGTCACTGTACCGAAGCCCGCGCTTGCTCGCTGAACCGCGCCCTCTTAGGCCAGAAGCTGTGACGGGGGCAGGAGATGCCGGGCAGCCAGAAGCCAGCCCTCCGGGTGCCTCTGGTGGCGCAGGGAGACACCATCAGCAAGCAAACCCAGGCACCCAGTGGTTTCAGACCGTGCTCAGCGCTCTAGGGACCCCGCAGTAGAAACAGGAGGTGTTGTGTGGGGGTGGGGCAGGCGTGCTCGGGTGCTGGGGTCCTTGGAAGAGCCCCTTGAGCAGATGCTACCCCTGGTTTTCTCATGGTCACATTGTATGCCCCTCCCCCACGGTTCTTCCACCTCAAACCCCCCCCCCCCCCCCCCCCCCCCCCCCCCCCCCCCCCCCCCCCCCGCCCCCGCCTCCTCCTGGTCCCGGGCATTGGGAGCCCCAGGGAGCTCCGAGCGCCCCCTGGTGCCTCCCTCTGTCCTGGACCCTCTCCCTGGACCCAGCCCCTCTCCGGGCCCCTCAGGCCACCCTGGGAGGAGAGCCTGGTGATTTCCTCCCAAAAGGAGGAGGGTGCTGTACATCCCTCTTCAGGGTGGAGAAGGGGTGTAAGGGGCTGGTCAGCTTTTTCTCTTCCAAGTTCCTCATTGGCCGGAGCCCTTCTCCATGTGAGGGTTCCCGGGACTTCTGGGTTCAGGCCTGTGCCTTGGGCACAAGAAGGCTTAGAGCAAAATGATCCTTAAAGTCCCTCCCCCTCGCCCCCCTGCCAAGAATGAGAGGCTGGGAGGCTTGGAGCTGAGAAGCTGTAGTGTGTGGAGGGTGGGGAGGCCCCCCCAAGGAAGATGGGTTTGAGATGGCACTCTGTGCCTCACCAGCTGATGGTCAGTCTGAGCCCCAGTTTCCTGATTGCTGAGCGGGGATGGTAACCTCAGTGTTGTCACCAGGTTAAATGGGACCGTGAGTCCCCCAGGCTTCCCATCATGGTTTTTGATGATGTGCCCCAGACCCAGACGGCAGTGGATGGAAACACAGCCACAGGGGTGCAGCCAAGAGAGGTTCAGGGGGCTCACAGAAGTCCCGGCCCCTTGACGTGTGCGTGAGCCTCCGGCTGGCCCTTCCCCTTGGTGGGAGGCTGTGGGGCAGGCCTTGGGGATGACCCTGCGCTCCTGAAGGTTCCTCTGTCTTTCAGCGGCTCAGCCTCCCTAGGGTCCCCTGCGGACCCCCCTCCCCAGGTGTCCAGTCCAGCTCCCCTGCCTTGTCTCAGCCCCGCTTGATTCGCCACCCCCTGCGTGGACCGGGATCCTGGGTTTTAATACCTGGGTATTTCCGTACAAATTCTACTTCTCTCGAGGCTGTAGCCTGCAGCTGTGCCGGCCTGGCACCCTGGGGGAGGTCACGCAGAAACTGGTGTGTTAATAGTCCCGGCAGCTGCCTCTGCCTTCTGGCTTTCCACGTAGCCTCCTGCACACGCTGTGGCCTCTCCACTCACACTCGGCACCCCTGCCCGCAGCCCAGGAATGCACCGGACTTTGGGCCCCTGGGAACGGCAGCTGGGCGGACACCAAATGTCAGAGAGAACGCACCTGGGAAAATCAGCCTAATGGAGCCTTTGTGGCGCTGGTGGGTGAGCTGTGAGCCCCAGGGCTGCTGAGTTCTGGTGTGTTCGGGGGCACGGTCATGTCTTTGTGGTTTGTCTGGCCAAGCCCTCTCCCATGAGAGAAGTGGCCATTCTGAGGACACACGCACTGTCTTTACCCCAGCTTTGAAGGCCCTGTGATCTGTCCACTGCCCTCCACCCCTGTGGCCTCTGGTTGATGCAGTGAAAGGCCTTGAGCCCGTAAGGTTTGCCGGCTCTATGCCAGGCACTTGCGTGCCTTATTTTATCTCGCCCTCCCAGCAGCCTTGCATGATATTTCTGTGACACCCCTTCAGATGACCCAAGGACCAGCCTCGTTCTGTGGAGTCAGAGGGCAGGGCTGGCTTCCCGGGTGAGAACTTTCTAGCAGTGGATCAGTGGATGTGCCGAGATCCCATTGCTGGGGGTCTGCAAGCAGGGGCTGATGGCCCCTCCGTTCAGGAGGATGGAGAGGACCCTTCGCAGCAGGGAGGGACTGGACTGAGAGGGGTCTGGGGGGGCCTCTGCCTTTGGGGATCACAGTCCCCCGAGTCTTGAATTCCCCCCTCCTTACTGGATATAACATCACTGATCCCACTTAACAGGACGAGGCACCGAGACTCAGAAGCAGGCGTTTCTGCGCCCCGATCGCCGGTTCCTCCCCTTTCTCTGCTTGCCCTAGGCGGCCGGGTTCTGAGCAAG